AAAAAAAAAAAAAAAAAAAAAAAAAGAAAGAAAGAAAAAAGAAACTCTCACGATACAAATTTTTACATATAAATATACATTAATCTCTCTCAATCAATCCAGTCTATCTAAACTGGTGTTTTATGTAAAGTTAACAAACAACGACGTAATGAACACCACAGCGGTGAAAAGCTATCGAGTGGTCACTGTAATTCATCCGCCATTTGTAATGTACAACGAGGAGAAGAACGAGTATTATGGTTTTTGCATCGATCTTCTCAACGAGATTAAGAAAACGGTAGGCTTTCAGTACGAAATACGAGAAACAGATGATAAGAAATATGGGAGTCTAAATTTAGACGGAAGTTGGAACGGAATGATGAGGGAATTGATCGAGAAACGAGCTGACATCGCGTTGGGTTCTCTCTGGGTCACAGCGGAGAGAGAAAGGGTGGTGGATTTCACAGTGCCTTACTACGATCTCGTCGGCCTCTCTATCATGATGCTGAAAACGAAGACCACCACCTCTTTATTTAAATTCCTCACGGTATTGGAGAACGAGGTCTGGTTCTGCATCTTGGCCGCCTATCTCTTCACCAGTGTCTTGTTGTGGATCTTCGATCGTTGGTCACCATATAGCTACCAGAATAATCGGGAGAAATACAAGAATGACGATGAAAAGAGGGAGTTCAACTTGAGGGAGTGTTTCTGGTTCTGCATGACTTCTTTGACCCCACAAGGCGGTGGAGAAGCTCCGAAAAATCTTTCCGGTCGACTGGTCGCCGCCACTTGGTGGTTGTTTGGTTTCATAATCATCGCCTCTTATACGGCAAATTTAGCGGCGTTTTTGACAGTATCCAGATTGGAAATTCCGATCGAAACGTTAGAGGATCTTAGCAAACAGTATAAGATTCAATATGCACCGGTCATAAATTCCTCGGCTTATATTTATTTCAAGAGAATGGCTAATATAGAGTGGAAATTCTACGAGTAAGTAAACGAAGAGGTTAGAATAATTTTCAAGATCGAAACCTTCGTTCGAAAAAAAAGAAGGTAAAGGGATAGCGAGATAACGATCATGTTATATCTTATCTACTATTTTAGAATTTGGAAGGAGATGAGCCTTAACGACAGTTTGTCAGACGTGGAGAGAGCCAATTTGGCAGTGTGGGATTATCCTGTCAGTGACAAGTATACAAAAATGTTGCAAGCCATGGAGGAGGCAGGATTTCCGGCCTCGACGGAAGAAGCACTTCGACGAGTTCGACGTCTCGATTCCAATAACGAATTTGCTTATATAGAAGATTCAACAACTATTAAGTATCTTACCATGACGAATTGTGATCTGATTCAAGTAGGAGAAGATTTTTCGAGGAAGCCTTACGCGATTGCTGTTCAACGAGGATCGCCTTTGAAAGATCAATTTAATAACGCGTAAGTTATTATCTCTATTCTTTTATATCTATTTTAAAGTAAAATTAATCGATTTTCTTTTTAATATCACTTTTCTTTTCTAACGCAGAATCTTGATATTATTAAACAAGAGGAAATTAGAAAAATTAAAAGATAAATGGTGGAAGAAAAATCCGAGCAAAAAAGATTGCGACGCAGAAAACAGTCAAAGTGACGGTATAAGTATTCATAATATCGGAGGAGTGTTTGTAGTCATATTTCTAGGTATCATTTTTGCTTGTTTCACTTTGGCATTTGAGTACTGGTATTATAGACACCGTACGAAGATCACGAAAATCGATCGAAACAATACGATGAAAAATAAAATCACACAAGTAAAACCACTCAGATTTAATTTACAACCGGCGCCTACGCATGCTTTTCAAAATGTTCAATTCAGACCAAGATTTTGAATGTGTTCGTGACAAAAAAGAAAATAAAATATTGACAAATAAATTATTCTATATTGTAGATATATTATACTTCGATTTTAATATTTATTGCTGTTTAATGTTGGATAAAAAAAAATATATATATATATAAAAACCAAGGAAAAAAATATTTTAAGAAACGAATATATCTTTTTTATTAAAAATATATCTGTATATCGGAATAAATAATATACAACTATAGCGTTTGCAATGCCTTTATTTGGTTACTCCCTTTGTGTACATTATTTTGCGCAGAGAATTCATGTTCGAATGTTCTTTCGTATTTTTTCTTTATACTTCCACTTTTTCCATATCGCAATTCATGTACCTCGCTTATCATTTTAAACTATCTTCTTCGCCACGTCTTAACATTATCATCACGTTTTTCTTTTTTTTTTTTTTTCTAATAACATTTTACTCGCTCTTTTTCATTCTCTTTAAAAGGCATTTATTTTTTTCTAATGATGTTCCTTTCATATTTTCGTCCGCTTAACTTCGCCAAGATAGGCGTAGTATTTTTTTCGTGTTATACGTTTCTTTTTTTTTTATATACATAT